GGGGCGGTTTGAAGACATATATTATTTGATAAGTTTGTCCAGAAGGGCAATGAATGATAATGTATATGTGCAAGATCATGTTCTCAGCCTATACAGTGCTATCACCTAATAAATGTACCCTTTTCTTAAACAGAGTACACAAAGGTACATGTCTAAGACAATATTTTTACAAAGTACACACAGACTAGTAATTCATACAACTTACATTTTCACTTTTTGTCCACTTGACAAGCCTCTAAAAGAATAAGATTTGATTTCAGTATTTTCAACTTGTGTGCAAATGCAAGCATGTATGTGTGTATTCACACACACACACACACACACACACACACACACACACACACACTCACACAATGTACTGAGCAACAGTCAATTAGCAAACCTTCCAAGTTCCTAAGGTGTGCACAGGAACAAACGAGCTGCAATGGCAGCAGCAGAAATGAGAGACCGATCTCAAACATCCAGCCTCCCTCACACAGTAGCTAACACAACTAAAACACAACTACCTTGATTAAAGTAAATAAAGATCACAACTCTAAGTCCTGAAAAAGAAAATGTTTTGGCTTTTTACTGACTCACTGATTTAAATAAAATCTTAAAAAAAAAAAATTTCTGCTAGAGCCATTATTTGACTCTTCAAAAACAAGAAAGGAGATATACTTCCCTTTGCAGGTTAGAGACTGCAAAGCTCACAGAAAGATGAGGTTAGAATGAGGTCAGTGTCAGAGATCAATAAATACTACTCCATGCCTTTCACTTTGAAGGCCTCCAAAGTACACAGGGCTCATTCAGGTGCCTCAAACCCCTCGCCCAGATCAGTCCTGAAATACCCCTAATGCCATTTCTGAACAGCATATCGCATAACCTTTTTTTCTTTCTGCTCAGACATTCATTCTCTGTGGTAATGCTCACTACAGGATAGCTACACTTTTATACACATATTCTTTTTCCAATTAGAGTCAAGTCACAGCTATGATAACTAAAATCTTAAAAACAGTGGAATAAAAAGAAACATTAACTCTTTAAAATGAGTTTGAAGAAGAAAATACTCAAAAAGAGTCTTCTGTGGCTGTTTTTAAAGAAAGGACAAAAGAAAAGCTGTAAAATGCAAAATATCAGAAATTTGTTCAATAGGCCAAAAGTATTTATTCAGGGATACATTACTGTAAAAAAAAGTTGAAGGTGACATTCCACCAAATCATTTAGCCAGCATCTTTCATGTGTCTGTTCCAAAATTTCCAGGACCAAATTTACGAAAGAGCACAACAGAGTTCCAGATAAGAACCTCCAGTGTGCTATGATTCACACTGCAAAGCATTTCAAACGAGTCCTGTGAAATAACTGAGCTCTTCCCTCAGCAAAGAATAGATGATCAGAAAAACCTTAATTACATCATTCTCTCCATCCTGTTTTTAGATATATTTCCTATTTCAGTTCACACTGGAGAAGGCAACACCTACAAGGAAGAAGGGTATGCAAACCTTTGGGCAACTTGACAGCTTGTCAGAAATCTAGCTTGTGTTGCAAGACAGAACGAGAACAACAAGGTTTGTCTGACATTCTCCATCTCAGCAACTAAAGGACGATGTAACTTTTTCTACTGGGGTTGTTATTTCCCAGGGGACAGAAAACCTTTTCTAATGTACTACATCTAAAATGCTTCCTAGAGATCACGCACAGAACATCACTACAAAATGAAAAATCTGTTTTTAAAGGAAATTTTTCATTGATTTCAGTTTTGCTCTACTGAGTAAACTAGACCTTCCCTAGCTCTGGGAACTTTCTTTTGTTCAGCCTGCCTTTAACTGATAGAAATCCAAAGTCCAAGGTTTTATAAATCATTTTCTTATTCCTTCCCTCCCCTCTCTTCACAACCCTGATACCTTAAATACCTTCACAGCAAACATAATTAATCAATTGCAAGGCAAAGAGAAAGGATCATTTATAGGTAAAGTGTCAGGTATTTACTGGACAACCATTGAAAAATACCTTCCTATAGTAAAATCAGTTGTTTATAATGGGGTAAATAGGAAGGTAGAGAGAGACCATAACCTACCCATATTTGGAGTAATCAATTTGAAACAGGACTCACATTCTACACACTGCTGCTATTTATACAAGCCATGAAAAGTAGTCTAAAACTGCAGAGCTGGAAAGAAATTATGTTTGGCTAAGGAACAAATAAAATGAAAGTATATAAAAATTATGACTAGAAATGTAAAATGAGCTTGATATTGTATCATGTTTTATTTTTATACATACTACTAGCAGATGTGCTATCACTAATACATTGGTCTAATACACTGGTCACAATGTGAACAGCTGATTTAAAGTCTTGTCGTTTATTCTATCTATAAGATTGATTTTATTCTTTTATTTAAACTGGACACTAACTTGATAGGTATAAAATCAAGATTCAATATCTAATCGATAAAAATCTTCCATGAAAATAGAAACAGTTACCATTTCATTTCTTTTCTGCCCAATTGTAATCCTCCCTTCTCCTAAATAAGTGGGTTACCATAAATTTTTTGTTTTTTTTTCCTAAAGATAGGAAAACTTGTCCTAATGTTTCTAATTCCTACGAATATGGATGAGAAATCCAGGCTTAACCTGTGGGTATAAACTCAAAGAATATATTTTGACAACTTTCCTGTTTTAGTGAATATTTATACATGGGAATCTCTTTCCAGAGGAGATCTTAAGCTGCACAGATGCCCACCCACATGGTATTCTCTGATCATCTATGGAAATGACAAATGCATTTTACTAAATGAAAGTCAATTGCCTCACCCATAAAGGTGAAAAGGAGACAATTAATAGGAGAGGCTTAGTGACTATGACTTAGTTAATGATTGGGAAGCTCTCTCAAACACATAAAAGAGAAGGAAAAGACTTCTTCAGAATGTCTGTGGTGTGTTTTGCTAGTCATCTTAATTGATTTCTCACATCAAAAAGCAAATGTGCAAAGAAGACAAAAGCAGAGGGCTACACCTCCAACATTATGCACCATTAGCTGAGCACTTCTCCATTTTAATGTTCCTATAATTGATTGGGCGGCCCCAGACAAGTACAAAGAGCAAATGATTCCAAGTACAGGGTAGCTCTGACTCCTTGAAAAACTGCATGCACCTTATGAATACTTTCTTTAGAAAAAAGCTTCCCCTGGGCACTTCATTTCAGCTGTTAGTGCAAGTAAACCCCTCGCTGATGTCAATGGGCACTTTGCTTCTCTGGGTATCAGAGCTAAATGAATGGTTAAGAAGTCAGAGTATATAAATATCCTCAAAGACTTTGGAAACTGCAGAAAAGGGCAGAGCAACATCATAATTGACAGCTAGATCGCTCTCTCAATGTTGAAGCTATTTTTACAAGACATAACACTACATAAAAATCTCCATCTCTCACAATTATTTCCCTAAAGTTTACATGGATTTATGTATGTTTACATGTGTTGGTATAACCCGTTTTACAGAGAAAAACAAAAAACACAACAAAAACCCTTGCTGTTTGAGATTAGTCCTGAGATATATGATGTAAGAAACGCTAGTATAATCATAGCATTTAGTAGTTAAAGCTCTTATGGCTGTTTCTCAAATAAAATTTGTATTCGGGTTGCCAACATAAAAATGTCCTATTTTTGCTCACGGGATTGACGATGGAAGAAAGTAGAGCTTGCCACTTTCAAAGAAAGTTCAATATACCAGTTTAAATCAGAACTTAATACCAACTTTAGTATTCCAGGTCTGCTGTTTAAAGGAATATGGGGCATGCACTTTTGTATTCCATCATTGTATTTCTCACATGGATTTTTCCCCATCTTTGTTTTTGACAACTTGCCTTTTCTTTTCGTGTTTGCCTAGTCAGACTAACAGTTTTTGTAAACTGATGATTTCAGCTCCCTTATTATTCCACATTACACTGCTGCACACTGCCAGTCAAACATTATCATTTTTTTCACTCCAGCTGTGCTGAACCACAAATAGATATGAAGCAATTGACCTTGTTAATCACTGACTTGTATGATGCTTTACTACCCACTGTTTTGTGCCACTAACTTCACTTCACGCATCTTCTAAAGTCATGACCTTTGTAGGAGGTATTACTGTCCAAGCAAGTTTTAGAACAGTATAACATTAAATACAATATGGCCAGTGTTATGAAAATATCAAAGATAAACAGATTTTTCTTGTCTAAGAGCAAAGGAACTAAGACTGCTTGCTTTCTAAAAGAAAAACATAGAAATAACTTTGGGCCATTTCGAAAAGACTATTGTGCATAGTTATTTCTAACATTTTTAAAGTACTGATTTAACTTGCTTGTTTGTTTGCTTATGTGTTTATTGCAAACACAGCTAATGCTTTCTGTTTTAGTGACTCTTCCAGTGAATAGTCAGATGGTGATGGTACAATGGATTTCAAACATTCGAAATAATTAGGAACGGAGGTCATAAATAAATAAAATCTATCATTGAATTCTGTCATAATCTATAATTTTGGAAGCAGGCATTTTACCTTCAAACTGACATACCCTTTACATAATTATGAAAAATATGTGAAACCATAGTATTTGTAAGAGTAGTAAAAGGCTTATTAGTGGAGTTACAAATATCAATCAAATATTAATGACGTAGTCAATATTTGCAAGATGTCACTGAGAAAATCATAGTCAAGCTATACAAATGTAGATATAATATGTGTTAATAATATATTTCCTCTTTTAGTTAGTGACCACTTTTAGGGCAGAGTTTTATTATCCACTGCATTTCATGAGTATGTGATAATGATGGTCCATAGAGAGACTACTTCATTGCATAGCAGTATAAATAAGAAATCTGGTATCATTAAATATTATTAAAATACTAATTGTATCAATCAGTCAATGTTAAGCCAGGAAAAGAGAGAGTTAAAACTATAGTGGGGAAAATAGAAATTACTGCTGGAAAAATTGAGGTGTGGAAGACAGGAGTTGGAGAAATAAAGAAAGTTACTCACCATCACAGCCTCTACACTGACTTGATTGGGCAACTCGGAGCTTGCAGGAAAATTCCTCCAGCCATACTCTTCTGGCTGCTGAAGTGGACCCACAAGAGGAGAGCTCATGGAGAGGTCTTTGGAAGCTGTCATTTCTATTGAAAGTGTACTCTAGTGCTTGAGGCCACTGTTGTTTAACTAGACTAGTAGTGGGGAGGATGATCTGGAAGCTGGAGACTGCCAGGCATCTATACATCAACCTTCTGAGAGCAATGGCTTCTGCTATACTTCCATCTTCCAATCTCATGCAAATTCCTCCCTCAGTCAGTGCCAACCTGAAACCAATAAGGAAAAGGAATTGTGGTAAATATTTTTCTAGCTTTAGACTGGGACAGTAACTACAAGTTGACAAAACACAATCCAGCACAGTCCAACCTCCTGTCAACTTGATATCCACACATACATATTTTAATCATATCTAATTCTAAGTAAAACAGTAGCAAAATTATGATTCCACTAAAAGAGTACAACTATATTCATAAAACCAAAAATACAGTGGCTATCTTTTTAAAGGAAGATGCAAAACATCCTGTATGTCTTTTTTCCACCTGTATGTCTGTTTTTCCACTCCAAGTAGGACTCATCCTTCTTACCAGGATTTTCCCCATTCTTTCCTTTTTAAAATTTTTTTTTATTTTATTGGAGTGTAGTTGATTTACAGTGTTGTGTTACTTTCAGGTGTACAGCATAGTGATTCAGTTATACATATATTCATTCTTTTTTCAGATTCTTTTCCATATATGTTATTACAGAATATTGAGTAGAGTTCTCTGTGCTATACAGTAGGTCCTTATTGGTTATCTCTCCATTCTTTCCTTTTGATAATCAACTTGAGTAATAGTTCTTCACTAAGTTGGCTCATACCTCTCCTTCAGTATCCTGTACTTACATATTGAGATTTAAGGTTAATCATTATCAATTAATATTTTATTAGGTGAGAGGGTGATACAAGAAAGAAAAAGATTTTCAAGTGACTCTCAACTTCTTTACAAGTTCAAGTTTGGGTATTGGTTAAAGATCCTTAACTCTATTTTGTGCTAATTCAAGTTAACTTTTTTTTACCAGACTTAGAATTTGTCTATTTATACTAATCAAATAAAAGGCTATATGGTAGTGTACCCATCTATTTCAGTAGTAGAGACACCTGAATCAATTAGTCAAAGGTTCCTGAAGGTCAAACCATTCTGACTAACTGTATCAACCCTGCTATCCATGCAGTAATCATGCCTACCATTTCACTGCAGGTTAATTGTTGCCACTTGGTCCCTGCCACTATGGGATCCCATTATGCCACTGAATTCAGAGTGCCCATTTTAGTGGCAACTTCTCCCACTGTCATTGCTGATCTTCAGGAAACAGTCACCTCAGAGCTCTTCAAGGATGCTTATGCTCCTCTTAATAATATATTTGTCAAAGATTCTGTGTCCACCTGGAGGACATAGGAGAGGATTGAAGAGCAGAGCAGGCCATACGTAGTAAATACATCCTAGCATCCAATCTCTCTAAACCTTAGTGTGTCTTTCTCTACCATATATCCAGGAAATTCTGACACGTCAACTTAATTTACCTTTGTGTCCAGAGTCCAGTGAACCAATCCAAGAAACTGCTAGATCCACTCCAAGTTTCTCAAGTTAATTAATTACCTCCACAATTTCTAGTTAAGTGTGGTTATATTAATGAATTCAATCCACTCCAACATCACATCCTTCTATCCTCTCCTTCTACTTTTAGGATATGTTCTCATACATATGCCTCTTCAACTGTAAAAGTCTTGCAATTAGTTTGGTGCATAAGATAACTCTTACTAATGACATTGTGTACCCAACATCCTAAAGCCTAGGAAAATCTGAGTCTGCTTATAGATCTAGAAGCCACAGAGGTGCTGGAGTATATCTTGAGGCACTGCAGAATTTTCTATTCTATTAGTTTCCTAAGGCTGCTATTAAAAAAAAAAAAAAAAAGGACTGCAAACTTGGTAGATTAAAACAACAGAAATGTACTTCTCAACAGTTCTGGAGGCCAGAGGTCCAAAATCAGTTTCCATCACCAAAATTAAGGTGTCTTCTCCTTCTGGAGGTTCTCAAAAAGAATCCATTTCTTGCTTCTCCTAGTTTCTAGTGAATGACAGCATTCCTTGCCTTGTGGCTGCACCACTTCAATCTCTGCCTCTATCTTCACATCACCATCCCCTCTTCTTTCTATGTGGTGGGGTATCTCACTGTACCTCTCTCTTATAAGGCCATTTGTCATGTTATACCATTTAGGGTCCACCCAGATTATCCTGGATTATCTCCTCATTTAACATTCTTAACTTAATCATATCTGCAAAGACCTTTCCTCCAAATAAGTAACATTTAAAGGTACCAGGGATTAAGACCTGATATCACTGGAGGACATTTCTCAGCCTATTATACCTACCAAATATTTATTTATTTACTTATAAGTGGTCATTACAGTTTATTTAGGCAGGAGTTGGCTACCCTCTTCCTGCTAGGGTATACTAACAGAAAAGATTTTTCAGAATTTAGAGTGTTAAATTTTACTGTGATCTTATGTCTGCAATCCCATATTCCGCATGTTACTATTCCCCGATCAATATTCTAAGTTTAACATGAGACCCTGCAAGGCTGTAATTTTAATTTACAGAAGAATTTAACCACAAAAGGAACAAATGTAGGTTTGGTTTCATAAATATTAAACCTGTGATTAACAGGGGATAAGGGTATATTTCAGAACAAACAGAAATTTGCTAGTACTCTGGTCTTTAGATGGAAATGTAAAGCTGTGAGTTCATCATTTTTCCTCCTTCAAATTTTCCAGTGCTCTTATAGGAAACCAACCCCAAGCACCTTATGCTCTTTATTTCCACTATAATTTTGAATGGCAGCAGCTATGTGGTCATATAAAGCCTAGACATCTACAAACCTTTGACTCCAGATAATTAAAAGTAATGATTTCAGTAACTATTTTGTCACTAACTGTCATGGACTCCCAGTGTTTCACTTACCACTGGCAAAGGGGCTATTAATGTCTTTAAATCCATCAGATCAAAAAACAAATTCCAAAATCACAGCCTTAAGGTTCTACCCCCAAGGAACTGATACATAAAATCTCTGTTAGGGCTCATTCAGGAAACCACAGCCACAGAAGATACTGTGCAAACAGGTAGTTTGCTATAGGAATTACAATGTACACATATATAAGAGGACACGAGGAAGTTAGAATTCTGGAAAAGGGGATGTCAAAGGACCAGAGAGTCACTATCCATGATACTTGCAGCAGCAGTCTGTGTGAATAAGTCACAGCTTACAGGAAAATCCCAGAAACAGTGCACATCTGGCTATCAAAGTGGTAGCACTAAGAAGATGGAGGAGAAAAGACATGCAAAGATCCTGGAAGTTTTCTCTCTACAGAGTACAATCAAGCCCTTGGTAATTAGCTTAAGACCTCTGTTCATTATCAAGGCCAACAGTCGGGAAGACAAGCTAGAAGCTAGAGCCTGCTGACACCATCTCTGATAAATATAACTTGCTGAGAGTAGTGGTTTCCACTTCAGTTTCACTTTTCAAATCATGCACAAGTTATATTCTTGGCTAACTGCAACCTAGAAACATAAGGGAAGAGGATTCTGAGAAATATAACTCCTAGCCATACACAAAAGCGGTAATATTAAGTTCACAAAACAGACTCCAGAACACTAACCATATTGTAAATACAGTTTCAATTATAAAAACAAAAAGAGGGGAGACCTTCAAGATGGCGGAAAAGTTAAGATGTGGAGAACAGCTTCCTCCCCACAAATACATCAGAAATACATCTTCATGTGGAACAACTAGTACAGAACACCTACTGAACGCTGGCAGAAGACCTCAGACCTGCCAAAAGGCAAGAAACTCCCCACGTACCTGGGTAGGACAAAAGAAAAAAGAAAAAACAAAAACAAAAGAATAGGGACAGTAACTGCACCTCTGGGAGGGAGCTGTGAAGGAGGAAAAGTTTCCACGAGGAAGCTCCTTCACTGGTGGAGACGGCGGGGCGGCAGGGCGGGGAGCTTCGGATCCATGGAGGAGAACACAGCAACAGGGATGCAGAAGGCAAAAGCAGAGAGATTCCCGCACAGAGGATCGGTGCCGACCAGCACTCACCAGCCCGGGAGGCTTGTCTGCTCACCCGCCGGGGCAGGCGGGGGCTGGGAGCTGAGGTTCAGGCTTCAGGATCTGAGGTCAGATCCCAGGGAGAGGACTGGTGTTGGCTGCGTGAACATAGCCTGAAGGGGGCTAGTGCACCACAGCTGGCCCGGAGGGAGTCCAGGAAAAAGTCTGGAGCTGCCAAGGCGGCAAGAGACTCTTTCTTGCCTCTTCGTTTCGCGGTGCATGAGGAGAGGGGATTCAGAGCACCGTCTAAACAAGCTCCAGACACGGGCGGGAGTCGTGGCTATCAGCGCAGACCCCACAGACTGGCATGAGACGCTAAGGCTGCTGCTGCGGCCACCAAGAAGCCTGTGTACAAGCACAGTTCACTACGCACACCTCCCCTCCTGGGAGCCTGTGCAGCCAGCCACTGCCAGGGTCCTGTGATCCAGGGACAACTTCCCTGGGAGAAGTCATGGAGTGCCTCAGGCTAGTGCAACGTCACGCTGGCCTCTGCTGCCACAGGCTCGCCCCACATCCGTACCCCTCCCCCCCACCCCCAGCCTGAGTGAGCCAGAGTCCTCTAGTCAGCTGCTCCTTTAACCCCATCCAGTCTGAGCAGAAAAAACAGACACCCTCAGGCGACCTACACTCAGGGGCGGGGCCAAATCCAAAGCTGAACCAAAGGAGCTGTGCAAACAAAGAAGAGAAAGGGAAATTTCTCCCAGCAGCCTCAGGAGCAGCGGATTATATCTCCACAATGAACTTGATGTACCCTGCACCTGTGGAATACCTGAATAGACAACGAATCATCCCAAATTGAGGCAGTGAAGTTTGGGAGTAACAATATATATATATATTTTTCCTGTTTCTCTTTTTGTGAGTGTGTATGTGTATATTTCTGTGTAATTTTGTGTGTATAGCTTTGCTTTTACCATTTGTCCTAGGTTTCTGACTGCCCATTTTGTTTTTTTCTTTAGTACAGTTTTTAGCGCTTCTAATCATTGGTGGATTTGTTTTTTGGATTGGTTGCTCTCTTCTTTCTTTTTCTCTTTTTTTAAAATTACTTTATAATTGTTTTATTTTTAATAATTATATTTTACTTTTATTTTAATAAATTTATTTTATGTTATTATTTTTCATTT